AGGAGAGAGAGAGAGAGAGAGGAGAGAGAGAGGAGAGAGAGATGAGAGAGAGATGAGAAAGAGATGAGGGAGAGATGAGAGAGATGAGAGAGAGATGAGAGAGATGAGAGAGATGAGAGAGAGAGAGAGACAGGGAGAGTGAGAGTGAGAGTGAGAGTGAGAGTGAGAGTGAGAGTGAAAGTGAGCGAGTGCGGCCGCAAGATACGCAACGCTAACCGCATGCCAAAGAGCGACGACAGGACGGAGTCGAACTTGCGAAGAGGGAGGAGGGAGGGAGGGAGGAAGACAAGGAGGAGGAGAAGGGGAGGTGGGGAGAGGGGAGGTGGGGAGAGGGAGAGGGGGGACTCCAGCTAGCTTCGCTAGCTTTCGTGAAATGGCCCCAAAGCCGACATCTTGACTCTCGTCTAGCCTGGTTGGCATATCTGTAGCCATCTGCAGCTGTGACGTAATCCCGCAATGCTTGCATCTCGGCAGACCTCAAAAGGCATTGCAAAGACACAATGTGTTTGTTTGTTCGTTCATTCGTTCGGTTGTGCCTTTCCAGCGTTTGAAACAAGAACCTGTGCAACTTTGTGACCTTTGTGCAAGTGTTTCAAGTGTGCTTCACTCGTGTTTTCGTCACTTATATGTTTGCATCTGTCTTTTCGAGTGCTCTTTCTCGTGTCTCCGTTGAAACAAACAGCCAAATGCCTTTATAGCCTTGCTCTTTGCTTTGCTTCTGAGGGAACCGCTGGTGCACTGTCGGCCAGTCCTGAAACGATACAAGCCAGCTCTCCCCGAGCGGGTGGTGAACAACATCAGCGTTTCCCCTCGCATTTTGGACTCAATTTCAAATTTCAAAAGCTGTCAACAAATTTCAGAAGCAATTTCAAAAACTTCTTTCCCGCTTCCTCTCCCACTTCCCTCAGCTGCGCCTGAGCTTGAGTTCCGATCATGGTGCCGACTGGATTGAGAAACCAGGAATCAACACCTAAAACCGCCCCTTGAACTTCCGAATGGCTGAAGTCTGATGACAGCATGGCACTTGTGAGAGCTACCCACAGCCAAGTATAGCAATGGCCTCCAACCTAGTAGCGATGGCCTCAAACCAAATAGCGGTGGCCTCCAACCTAGTAGCGATGGCCTCCAACCCAAAAGCGATGGCTTCCAACCCAATAGCAATAGCGATGGCCTCCAACCTAATAGCAATGGCCTCCAACCTAGTAGCGATGGCCGCCAACCTAATAGCAATGGCCTCCAATCTAATAGCGACGGCCAACAACCTAATAGCGATGGCCAACAACCTAGTAGCGATGGCCTCCAACCTAATAGCGATGGCCTCCAACCTAATAGCAATGGCCTCCAACCCAATAGCGATGGCCAACAACCTAATAGCACTGGCCTCCGACCTAATAGCAATCGCCTCCAACTCCATAGCGATGGCTTCCAACCCAATAGCGATGGCCTTCAACCTAATAACAATGGCCTCCAACCTGATAGCAATGGCCTCAAACCCAACCTAAGAGCGATGGCCTCCAACCTAATAGCAATTTGTTACTACTAGTAAGGCACCTGTTACTACTAGCGTGGCACTTGTTCCTACCTTCCTTTTTTTGCTCTTCTCAGCGAGATCTCAACCGCCCCCGAACACTCATGGGGTCGAATTCACCAGTGCGAATGGCCCCAGAGGTGAGGTGCGGCGCCCGACCAACGCGGAATTGCTCTGCAGCACAAAGCCTCGCTGCTCCCTTCGGTACAAGCTGGAGCTTTGGAAAGCGAACCGATTGACAACCTGTTAGACGCTAGGAACAAGAAGCTACTAGGAGCAAAGGGCATCGCTACTAGGAACAAGAAGCTACTGAAGCCATTCACAATTTGCGTGAGTCACCAGCTTGGGAAAAGCGACATTGGAGCAACTTCAACAACTTCGACCCAGAAGACAAACGCCGGGTAAACACAATCAATTATGTGATTATGATTTACATCCTTCTAGGTTGGAGGCCATTGCTAGTAGATTGGAGGCCTATGATATACATGCTTCTCTGAGCATTCTTCGATGCTTTAACATGTTCCAGCCAGTCCTCTTGGGTCAGATCCACAGGTAACCTGTGAACGATCTACTGTTTTACAACCCCGAATGCTCGCAACGGAACAAAGATGAACAAGGAGCATCAAAGACTCCCGACATGTCAGAAATGCTGGCCCGTTGTAGGCCTCCGCTCAAGAACGAAAGCACTAATGGGATGTGAAAAACAAATGAATACAATGAAGTTTATGAACACTCCACGAAAGTAATTCAGGAACTTGTCCATACTCGTCCTATTTGCAAACGTGCAACTGCACCTGCTCCTTGGAAGCCTTTAAAGCTGCGCCTGAGAGCCAAGTGAGCGAAGAATCTCCAGGAAAATAAGGAAGGAATCTATTAGTAGCGTCCTTGCTCCTAGTAGCGATGCCCTTTGCTCCTAAATCGAAAAAAGGTCTTTAAAGGTCTAAAGGAACAAATAAAAACATCGGCATTTATTAAGCCTCCATGTTCGTCAAACGACTCGACTCACTCGACTCGACTCACTCGACTCGACTCATGCCGAGTTCTTCTGCACTTGGCGCCATTTCTGTCCCAAACGGTTGGCAGATTTGCTTCGAGCGTTGCGGCTATGTGGCGCTCTTAGTTTCAGGACAATGTTTTTTCCTAAGCGGGGCTAGGCCGTACAGGTAGAAGCTAAAGGTAGCTAGTAGCTAGGTTGCTAGTAGCTCGGTAGCTAGGTAGCTAGTAGCTCGGTAGCTAGGTAAATAGTAGCTGTAAGTCGTTACTACTTAGGACGCAGTATAGCTCGCGCTTCTCCAAGGAAGCTCCCCCCGCGGCCCTAAAGGCAGCGGGGGAAGCTTCCTTGGAGAAGCGCTCGCACTAATGATTTGGTTCCTAGATCTTTAGGGAACCTCAAGGCTTGGAGGCCATCGCTACTAGGTTGGAGGCCAGTACTACTAGTAGCAAGAAGCTACTAGGAGCAAGGACAGAATGGCATCAACAATTGAGAGACTTGAGCTCTGCGACACTGACCACACGAAGGAACACAAACACCCATAAGCAAATCAAGCGAACAACATGAGCGCAGTTGAAACTTGTGGAACATCTTTGCAACTGCTGTCCTAGCAGTTTCCCTAAAAAAATAGGAACCACATCATTAATGCGAGCGCTTCCCTGAAGAAGTGTGAGCTATCCTGCGTCCTGCCTAGAAGCTAACTCAGCCTAGTAGCTTACCTCCTTACTTAATCATAAGTAGGCGCCTACTTAATCATAAGTAGGCGCCTACTTCATCAAATACGAGCGGGCAAACAAAGAGGAAACGCACTCTTTGAAACTGCTGTGTCCACCTTTCTGTCCATTCGACGGGCCTGTCCAACTTTGTCAGGAACCACTGAGGAGGACCGTGACTTCTGGGATGTCCTTGGCTCGAGCACTTTTCTACCAAGACAGTCTGACACACTTCTTTTGGCCTATTGAAACCTTTTATGAAACAGGTTGGAGGCCATCGCTATTATGCTTGGAGGCCATTGCTATTAAAAGTGTTCATACAGCACGTCGCTACTAGTAACAAGTGAATCGCTACTAGTAACAAGGGCATTACTAGTAGCAAAAAGCTATTTGTAGCGATGCACTTGTTCCTAGTAAGTGGCTTCTTGTTTGGCCCAGTGGAGCAAGTGACAGGTCCTTTCGACTTTTTCCAAGGCACGTCGAGCCACTCGTGGGCGGACGCCAGTCGAAATAATTCCTTCGCCCAAGCGGATTGAAATTAAGAAATTTAAACAAAGCCGTGCGCCGCTGTGTGTAGTAAGTAGTGACAGGAAACTACTGGATACCAGGACACAATTCTTCGACACTTTTCCAGTTGGGCAGGAGAAGCTTCAGGAGAAACCCTTTTGCATGGTCAAAATGCTTCCTGGACTTTGAGGAGGATTCAGCATTAGACTCTACTTGTTGGGAGTAGGATGCTTCTCTTTAACATCTCTTTTCGTTTTCTGCATGTTTTTCTCATTTTTTGGGCGCACCGATCTCTGGCGGGCTCGAAGCCCGGGAAATTGGCAATGGAGCGACAGCGGGGCTTGCGCTCCACGACCTCACGCAGCGTGGTGCACGGATTCCGTGTCGGATTGCCGTCGGCCACTAGTAGTAACAGGTGCCACGCTAGTAGTAACAGGTGCCTTACTAGTAGTAACAAAGAAGCTATTAGGAACAAGTGCCTTACTAGTAGTAACAAAGAAGCTATTAGGAACAAGTGCCTTACTAGTAGTAACAAAGAAGCTATTAGGAACAAGTGCCTTACTAGTAGTAACAAAGAGCTATTAATTTAAAAAGTAATTAATTAGAATTCTAATGAATAGCTTCTTGTTACTGCTAGTAAGGCACTTGTTCCTAATAGCGATGCCCTTCCTAATTTAAAAAGTAATTAATAGCTTCTTTGTTACTACCAGTAAGGCACCTGTTACTACTAGCGTGG